CGATCGTTCTCCAGTCGGCTCAGCAGCACCCTTAGCTCCGTCATGCGTGAGCGAGGTAGACTGGCAAGCGCAGATCGGGAGACAACGCCACCGAGAATATCCCTGTCAAGCATCTGGACTGGATCTAAAGAAACAAGACCCGATCGACTTTCCTCGTCCATTCTCCTATGCAGAATGTGAACTCTCCGAAGCACACTGTGCAAAGTCGCTAGAGACGCACCGCGAGACTCGAGGAAGATTTGACGAGAGATGCTGTGGAGCAAGTGCATGCCCTAAATGCAGATTACATAAGAATCAATCTCACGACCGCACGGGATCTCGAATCTGCAGAGTTACTTACATCCCGTCCTGCCTGCCATGAGTGGCCAACAGAAATTCCTCAGTCACGAAGATTGCAGGCCACTGCGGGTTTGCGTGTGTATGCAAGGATCTGCGCAAGGAATCCGGAAAGCAATGGATTGGCGCTAAGAACCTGCCCGGAACGCCTGTGAGTGAGTGTCTATATCCCGACCCTAAATTGCCAATCTCGATCGCTCATGATGCTGATGCTATATCGGCTTCCTCGATGCGATACATTGCGATATACGTTGGAGTGTGAGCAAATACCCATTATCCTGCCGCCACTACGGATATAACCTCACTCGTCTGGAGCTGGAGCATACTGTAGTCTGTGCCTAATACACTGGTGTAAATGGGAAGCCCATGAGGCGGAAGCATCTCCAGACGCTCGTACACCTCCCATGGGAAGATGAGGTGGGAGTGCCAGTCATTCGGGAGGGCTGCCTCTCACGAGTACGGGACTCATCAATGCACAGCACAGGTCTCCGTGCGCACCGCCAGCATCGGCCACTGCTGCGACTACATCACCACCGCGAGGAATGTGAAGAACGCGTGTAGTCCCAAGCCTTTGTACTTAAACACGGACCACATCAACGGTTGCTGGAACCTCTTCCCTCTTCGCGGTGCATGAGGTTCAGCCCAATGGTCCATTAGGCGCTCCAGCTGTTTGCAATGCTCATCCTGGCGGCTGATCAGTATCCAACCGACCCGTCACCTACCACCACCGTCGTTTCTCTGCGGCCTGATCTAGGTTACTAGGTCTATTCAAGTGGTCCCGTCGGGACAAGGTGCGAACCTACGCACGAAGTCATGAGAGGCGCTGCCAGTGCACACGCATCCGACTTCTGAAGTATACGAGTCTGTACGTCCATGTATGCTTCACGGACACACTGCCTACCTACACTCTGATGACTGACCTGCAGGTTCTGTCAATGCAAGAGAACACTCCGCTGCGCTATGTCAGATATGGTCCCTCCCGTACAAAGTGCAGCCACTGTCACATGCCGGATGCACTGTCGTTGACGTTCCGAATGGCCTCAAGAGCGGCGGTCACAAGCTCCTACGCCAACCCTACGCCAGTCTTACTCGATCCAATTGCTTACAACCCAGTCCATCCGTATCGCGACAGAAACGGAGGCGTCCTCGAAACCCATATACACCTCCACAGACCTAGCGGCAATGGTAAGCACGCACGGCACACCTTTCTCTATATGTTCACCGCCTCTAAATTGCGTGTCATGGTGGGTCTCTCTGCGAAGGGCATCAAAATATGTCCCCATCAGACCGTATACTCGGCCGCGCCCTCTATATTAACATCTAATCGCAGCTTCCTTGAGCGATCTCCGTCGTGGGCGCAAATCAGCCCAACGTACCGCTTCTCAGGCTATTGACATATCACGCGCCAACTATCTATCTCATCACCCCATCATGACCCTCTGGAAATCTAAGCACGAATGATGGAAGCGTTTATTGGACCGGACTATCCAATCCCTTTATTCCTTCTGTTTCCCTTGTCTGACTCTCCCCTTCTATCTTATGGCTCTAACCAGCTTGATGCACGGCTTACGCTCGAATGCTTTCCACATCTTACATTCGTACTCAGTCCAGTTCGCACCTTCACCTGTGTATGCTCATGTGGTGTCCGTTGTCCTAAACTGGGAGCACCCTTCAGTCACATCGCCCAGCATTCAATGTATGCACAACGTAAACTAACTCTCCAGACATCCCGCAACAACCCGTCATGATTTAAGTAACTCTTCTGACGGAACCTGGTGCCTGAATTCGCAGCTACGACTCGAATCTGGTCACAGGTTGCACAGAACTGTAAAGATCCATGATCCAAAGTTGCAGCATCACCCACGTCAGTAGGAATTGTGGCTCGCTTAGGTGTAAGTAGTCAACCTCCGTAATGACATACAGATCGGGCTGATAGACCATATCCTCCTGAAAGGCAGCTTTGGTCCACTTCAGGGACCCAGGAACCAGTATGCGCTATGCCAAGGAAAATGACAACCTCCTTGTTCCCCATCGAGACTTTGATAAGCTCAGTCCGTGAACATACTAAAACAACTCCTACCTTGGCTTCAGCTGCCGAGAGGTAAAGTGGTGCAAACATCTAGTGTTATCGAAACGACATGGGTCATCCTAGACAGGTGTAGTCAGACCAAACACTCATTGATGCCGGGGTGATCTGTGATTTCTTGGCTTCCAGATTAGCTTGTAGTGAGTGCATTACGTAGTGGTTGTTAGTCGTCGAAAAGGAAAGAGCGCATCTGCGGCCTCCGGGTCAAAGCTCAGACAGGCAGTCGTATTGATATGTACGCCTCTGAAGCGACGGCGTGTTCCCTTCGCTTCGATCGCGGGTGTTCGAATCTCGTTCGTGCTCAGGGCCAGAAAATGTCCGCTCGGTGCTACGAGTCTCGGCCCCGACAATGCCGTGTGTGACGTCAGATGTGTTAGCATCAGTCGCAGAGATATAGCATGTTGCTTCTGAACTCCTTTCAATCAAGCTGATCTTATTACAAGGTCTAAAAAGCGGATACAAGAAGGAAGAATGCTCCCGAATCGTCACAATCCCTCTGCGCGGCCCGTAATGACCTCGTTCGCTACCCGGCAAGTCATCTGACCTGCTTGTACGTCCTTCGGTCTTTGACCACCGCGAACTCGGTCAGTGCCACCAGCAGCGGCATCTCCAAGTGACGATAGCGCTTAATATCCTTGGTCGTGTTCAGGACGCCATCGAGGATCAGCGTTATGGGCTCACGGTCAACATCCCGCTTGTCTAGACAATGCCATATATCCGATAAGTCCTCGTTATTGGTTCCGGATGGTAGAGATGCGACGATGGTTGAAATGGGAGCGCCAAGGGGAAGGTTGTTGAGAAAGTGAATGTTCTGTCTGTCGGACAGCGTAACGTGTTGCAGGCCTCGTAGTTCGCGTAGTAGGCTGACGGGAGGGAGCGCGTGATCGCAATGGCTATCGTCAGGGTTGGAGAAGACGAGAGTGTTAATTTTGCTGCAGGGTAGTAAGGCCACGATGTCTTCCCACGACCACGAGTTGTCATAGCTGCCCATCCGGATGATAACAGTGTAGTCGTCGCGAGCGCGCATGCACAGGGAAAAGAAATCATCGCCAGGAGATATGGCTCCAGAATGACGTATAGTCTCACGATGATATCGGATCTCGAGAGACTCGAGCGCGTCCAGCGAGTAACCAAAGCGGCTAAAAGATAGTTCGATAGCGCTGGTCAAGAGAGAGGGCGCCCGTACGTCAATTAAGACTGATGAATTGTGTCCAACAGTGAAGTAAGCGTGAATGACCTTTAGCAGGTCCTCGTCCATGCTTTCAATGTGTAGCTCGCGCAACCGAGTGCGAGTATGCGCGCTCTGAACCGATGCGTCATCCAAGGCGCGTGTGTCAACGCAGCGTCTCAATCGAACGACTGCGAGATGCCGGCTCGAGTCAAACAAGTATTGTAGCTTGTCTATGGACAACGGACAGTCCGCAAAATCTTCGGCATCGGACGTCACGGAAAGTTGCTCCAGACACGGTGCGCTTATTGGTTCAGGAACATCATATTCCTTTGCAAGAAATATATCGAGAATGCGCAAGTGTTTCAGAGGGACTGAGCATAGTCTGCTCACAAGGGTCGCGTAGTATCGGATACGACAATTTTGGCGATCATTTGTCACGATAGCGTACGCTCTTGTCAACAGTTCAGGCGCCGTGATTGCCGCTATCACATCGCTCCTAGGCGCCCTCCCATTTGCGTTCTCGTCGAGGAGACCGAGGTCTATCCACAGAGCAGCTTGTCCAGCCCTTCGCAAGAAAGCGTTAAAGACGGCCGTGTTGTAGAAGGATGTTAACCAAAGGGCCCAGATCATGCTGGACCCCAGCAAGGTTGTACGCCACGAATGACAGACATGTCCCGCAGACACCCATCCCAGCCGCACCTTGCCATTTGTACGATCGTATGTCCCGGCCGGCCATGTCGCGGCCAAGTACAAGAAGATATTGAGCATTATCTCAGCGGGCACGTGTTGTATAGTAGCCTATGTACAGTTATTCACCATTGCAAGGTCCTACGCGAGGTCTACGCACCATGATGTCGTGTGAGAGGCGATGGAGGTCAAGACCAAGTGCACTTCATTGCGCTGAAGTGCGCGCAAGGGCGCTTAAGTGCGCGCAAGGGCGCTTATCAGTTCTCAGGGACACAGTCGTTCACACGGTCTGAAACACGTCATGTTCTCGAAGCATCGACTCGATATAGAACAGCACTACTGTCTGGAGCTCTGGTCATCCATCATACGCTCTGGCTATGTATTATACACCGTGCATAACGTCAAAGAACCATTCCGTCGTCCAGATGGTTGTACTAACAGGGGCTAAGCATTGGAGATACGCATTGTCAGTCGGTAACATGCACGAGGAGGCCGGCATAGATGTGAAGGACGAGAGGCAAGAAGTGCATGGGATCGACACGGTGAAGATAAAGGATCAATGGGGATGCGACCTCCAAAAGAACACAGTCAGATTGAAAGCGGCGCGGGTAAGCCAATCTTTTATCAAAACGCAGAAGAATGCGCCTCACGCTGCACAGCTCAATGTCAAAATCATACACGCGGAGCGACTAGCAATTGAAACAACATAAAGAAAACTAAATCGTGTCAATGGGCGAGAACCGCTCAATACGCCATGCTGATTTCCTCCCGAATCGCGATATCCTTCAACTGCGAAAAGATCAAAATCAAGAACACAGCCAGAACACGCCGCTTGTCACGCACCTCGAAAGAACGAATTATGTTCTTGGCCTCATCCAGCTCTGTCTCAGCTTGCGTTCGCTGAGAAAAGGCTGCCCCCGCACTTTCTGATCGGCAACCGTAAGACCTTTCCTTCTCCATTTCTCCCCTATTCTCCGATCGCATTCTCTCTCTACACCCTTCAGACACACGGGATTGAGCCTCCTAAGGTGCACAGCCACCCTAAGGTGCAGCAGGCCAGACGCGCCATACCAATCTTCGCGACATATAATGCCGGCCTGCTTACAAGAGATTTGGCAAGGCTCTCGTCCTCAATAATGACATGTTCCATTTAGTCAAGAAAGATGAAAAATTTGTCACAGAACTTGGAAATGCGCAGCCAGACGTCGCAACCGTAGACCGAGACCCGCGATTCCGGAACTGTACAAGCGCGTATTCTGCGAGTGTACGACTTGATATCAAAGGTAAAAGCGTCGAAGTATTGCGTTCCGTTTTCCGGTCGGTACAGGCGAGAAATGCGGCGACTGCGGACAATGAGAGTGGGCTGATTCTGTTTCGGAGGGTAGATACGATCCGGAACGACTCTTTTAGATAGGTAGGGCGCACGCGCTTCGGTCCAGTTCTCGAGCGGCATGATGGTAATCCAAGCCATCGTGCGGCTTCCCTCGAACATAAGCGGAAGGGGTTTGCCGGGCTAACTGACGCGCAGCGCCAAACTCAGTCTAGCAAGGGGTCCGTAAACGAAGGTCGACAGAATACGCAGTAGGTGGTATCGGGTAATTCATCAGAGAGGAAGGTAAGCACGGCAGATACGCTTCTGTGCTTCTTAATGAGTGAGAAAAATCTCGGGAACGCGAACCATGACAAGTTCTTCCTCTGCATCGGCACGAACGTCGACACCTTTGTACCCAAGAAGTTCAAGAGAAGCGCCTGCAACGATGGACGTCAGGATACTCGCAGAAAGAGTAGGCGCAACTCTCCAAGCAACAATATCTTAGCATTGCCAATATGCCCGAATGCTATCCCATGTAATTTAGGGTAGATAAAGCGGGGAGACGAGTAGGAGGACACACATGACACAAATGGCTCGCCCGGTATTTTTTGCATCCTTTTCGGATAGTGGGAAGGAACTCTTTCCAGATGGCATGAGAGAGGTACAGGTAAGCCTCAAACATATAAATTTGTTGCGTACATGTCCTCATCTGCGATAGAAGACGAATGGGGAGATCAAGGCCGAAACAGGGTCCTCCAATAAGTATATCACGGCTGTCGCGTTCTTGCTTCCACATCTCTGACTATTTGGTGTCCTGTGTTGCGATGTATTCTTGGATTCTGGCTCGTATAATAGTCTATCCGTCGAAACACTACCAGAGCAGTCATCTCTGCCCGCGGCAGAGTCATCAGGAGAAACGACAGGCTCGAGCAGACAGCATCGACCCGAATGAGACTTTGGTTCCTATCGTAGACTCGAGTTAGGCTCGGATCCAGCCGTTTCGCTTCTGATCTGGTGCGCGCCTAGTTGGACACTCTATCCCGTGTGGCTTCCATGTGTGTAATCCTTGTGCCCGTCTCGTAACGCAGGATGGGCTAGTGGAGTGGACGCCCGCGATTGGGCGCGGCGGGGAGCCCACTGTCGTCATCTCGTCAACACGGCACGTCAACATCTATATGCTTCTTTTGGATAATTCTCAGTCTGGTTGCTGCGGGAGCGGACCAGAATCGTACTCTGAATTCCGACCGCGGAGGCGCCAGGGGGCTACAGAAGACTCTGGCAGGGGAAATGATAAGTGAGAAGGTGCCCGGGCGCCAGCGCAAGCACGTGAAAGGCTCGGAATGATGGAGAGACGCGTCAGCGCATCATCGAGCGTGGGAGGGCTCGAGGCGGAAGTCAGACTGCGAAGCCTCCTGCTTGGACTGCAACTTGCTCAACGTCGTGCGCGGAGACGTCACCGTTGTTTGGAGCCAAATTCGTGCTTGACACGTGCTATCATGGCTCTACCGCTGCTGCTTACTCTGCCCAAGGAGCTCTGGCAAAATGTGGCGGTTGAGGTTGTTGCCTCTGTATTGGATGATGAAGACGAAGCCAATCACCAGCTGCCCTTCCCGGCAAGCCTTCTTCCCCCACTCAAGAACCCCCGTACGTCTGGGTACGCGGGGTCCATCGGTCAAGATCCTATCCCCCATCCATTGGCACGCTGGAACCCCAGCCTCCCGCTTCTGCCTTGCACAAGCCGTGATGGTCGGCTCAGCCGGCAGACACAACACTGCTCCTTGCGACATCCACCGTGCAATCGATCATCCATCCTCGCGCTCTTGGCTATCTGTCGCGTACTCCGAGGACACCTCATCGGCCTCCAGCCCTTCTGGGCTCAAATCGCATTATCGTTCCCCACATTCCTTCCGGACTCCCTCGACTGGGCCGGGCATAGTTTGGCATATCCGTCCCGGCTTGAAACAGCGCACGGGCTGTGCTCCTGCGTACTCCCGATGCTTTTACCGCGCGTCACGCATGCCACCCATATACGCGTCGCGTTACCCTGCGCACCGTTCGGCGAACAATATCCCTGCGATCAGATCCTTGACCTGTTGAAAGATTCCCCTCAGCGCATACAACGTCTGGATGTGCGCCAAGATTTGCCGAATTCAACTATCGGTACTGCAACGCATACCCCACAAGCCCTTGAGCTTCCGTTGCTTCAGTCGTATATTGGGGTGAACATGTTGTGCACAGCTTACAGCAAAAGCTTAAGGACACTCTACCTGGCGTCACAAGGTGACAAAGTTGCCTTGCCAGTCGATTTTTTCCTCGGGGTACTACGCGAGTGTTCACGCCTCGAGGAGCTGAGCGTTCAGACCGCACTTCGAGACGCCATTGACGATATCGACGAACAGTCTCCCATAATTCACCTTCCCTATCTAAGGTTTTTCCTGCTATGCGACTATCTCGAACGCTGGCGTCTGATTCTGTCAAGCATAGACATCCCAGACAGCACTTCTATCCACGCAGACATTGTAATGGACCACCTGTCTCAGCACCTAGGCGAGTTCAGGGACTTTGCTATCATAGCAGCTCACGACTGTCTGCCCGCTCAAATGTCTTGTAAAGTGGTGCTGGTTGAATACCATCAAGTGAAGAAAGAGCGCTTCATGGAGGATCGCGCTGGACCTCAGTTTGTCAGCTTCGTCTTTGCCAACACGGAAGATGCTGTTTGGGCCGGACGGGATCCTATGCGACGCGAGGCACGAAACAGCCTCACGTTGCGCTTTCAAGGAGAAGCACTTGCGAGCAGGTACCCTGCGGGGGAATGGGAACTTGACGGTCCCGCCTGGCATCCTCCAGAGAGCGATGATCTCTTCCACTACCTCCTCTCTGGTATCGACTACGACTTGAATTCCCGCCGGCTCGAGCATCTCAATTTTGGAATCACGGAAACATTCATCGAGAAAGCTGGAGGTAGAGTGCGACATATTTCCAGCTGCAGGCGGATCGCGAAGACGTTCCCAAACCTTCGTTCGCTGGTCATATACGGAGCAACCAACGAAACGTTCTACATTGTACCTGACATGATCAAAGAGTTGGCTTGGGAAAAAAGTCCGTGGTACAATCTGAAGCAAGTTCGACTACCGGACTGGGAGGGTGCAGAGACATTCCGAATGATCTTATCCGAAAGAACATCATGAGAGAGGGAAAGGATATCGAATGGTCTTTCTCTTAGGCTGACAGTACTGATGTCCTCGGATCATAATCTAAACATGTAGTCTCTTGTGTATTTCCTGTGTTGAACAGAATACAATCCCTCATACGTGGGTGGCACTTGCAGAATCATGCCTCGATTATCATTATCAAGTACACGAAGCCCGGATCATCTGCCTATCGCCCCCAAAGCCCGTTTTCGAGAGCTAGAGGCTGTGCGTAAGTTGCATACACTGAAGCTGGTCCTACAACAGTGTTCTTACGCCTGCATACCACGTATTGCGATTCACAGCCTTTGATCTGACGTTCCGAGGCTTACACCCTGGATCATCGTGACCAAATTTCAAGGGCTTATGACACCTCATAGGGGAATCATAGTAAAAAGAACGAGTAATATAGGTTACACTCAGGCCCAGGAGGCTGAATAGAGCGGTCATTCCTATCAGCATTTGCGCGGTGGCGAGCGATTGCAGCTCGGTATACACGAATAGTTGGGGTATGCTAAGCAGTAGGTGTCCAAACACTCTCGAGGGCAACGAAATTTGTGAACAAAACCTTGATGCGTCAGACAGAGATGGCAAAGATGGGAGCTGGAAAAAGAATGACAGCGGGCGGAGGACCAGCGCGTCTGCGGCCTTGCTCTAAAAAATCAGCGTATATGTTGATAAATGCAAGGCGGTCATCTGCGCAAGAAGGCGTGCGAGTGCGGGATTCGGGTCGGTGTTGACCCTGGCATCATGATAGAAGTGAGCGACCGAAAGGGTCTTAGTGGAACGGCACCGTCCATGAGCATGTGCATCATGCGCCGGCCACCATAAGGCCCGAACACATCCAGGAGCCGTGAATTACTGAGCGCGAGCATCTCAGCAGTAGCGTTCGGCAATCGCCCAATGGATGCGGCGCGAATTTCCCTCCCTCTGTACGCAAGGCATTCACGACGCTGCAGTGCTCGACATACGCATCAGTCGAATCTAACCTGAATTTATTCGTATGTCGTGGTATGCCCTGTGCTCGGGAATGCGAGGAGCGGACGCGAACGGCGCGTACGCGTTGGGATTCTCGTTGCACCGCAGTCAGTCATGTTTGAAGGGCCCGACCGCCTTCATAAACCCTGGTAGAGAAGTCGGCATGGAATGAACATACTCGCAAGCAAGGTTGATGATGACCTGCGAAGGTACGGGTCTCCTGCTTGGAGGTGGATGGATCTCTACAGAGAATCTTTGGTCCATAGCTTAGAGAAAGGATACACAGCAAGAAGAGCGATTGGATGTGTTCTTCTTGGCGTCCGCAACTCGAGTAATACAGCATTCCATGCGTCTCGCAGCTCACACAAACGTAGTCCCCTGAAAAGAAAGAACGCATTATGGATCAAAGAAGGCAAAGGGAAACGGGCCGAGGACAAGAAAGAATAGACCGTGTTTGCGCACATGACAAGACATTTGTAAGATGGGAAAATTCATGAGAAGGCGGACAATGAAGTCGGCCGTGTTCTTCAAACAATGTACTCCAACCAAGTGGCCACCACATATCCCAAGCTCTTTGCCTTTTAGTGATTCCATCCTGTGTTACCCCCGCCCGTCATGGCACTCCCCCGTCTATCCTTCAAAGCATTCCTAGTGGCCGGTGGGCAGTCAAAACTATTGCAAGGATTGCCCGTCACGTACTAATGGCACACACCCAGAAGCCATTGCTTCTAGTCCTTGGCAGGCTATTACTGGCGGGCAGGCAGGCCAGACCATCAACAGTTGCGTTCTGGCACCGGGCAAACCGGTCACTCTGTGACAGAGGCTCAAGATCTCCCAGCGAGATGAATGCCTCAATTGACAAACAGTCTCCCCTGTACAACAGGCGCTTAGGGCTGTAGCGCGTGTTTTAGCGTACATAACTCCAAGATATCTATCCATAGTGCGTCCGTCCTTGATATTTATTTTGTTTCTGATGGGTGGGAAGGGAACGTTGGGATGGTCAACAGAATGATTGAATATAAGGGGTGGGGTCTCAGTATGGTGGTAAAAGTGAGGGCCGGGCGGGAGAGAGAGATGATTGGAAACCTGCATGGGCATGCTCGTGATGTTGTGTCAACGGAATTTTTAAAACAAAGGAAAGCAAGCAGTCAACACGGGCGTAGAAAGGCTGTCAAAGTATGGCACCAATGGGATGTATAGAAGGACGGATGTCCCACTTCTCCAGCTTGGTCTTCACGCGCACCAACTGACCGTCCTCTGTGCGAGTCCAACGGCGCAGGTCTGAGCGCGTCCCCATATCCACCAAACGCCGTAGCTCTATCAGGGCAACAGAGTCGTTCCAGTATTCCACAGGGGCCACCATTAGGATGGGCGGACATCCTGAGTTCAGGCGTGACTCGTAACAGTCCACAAGGCTGTTGTAAACGTTGGCCTGGCTTGATGTGACATCATCTCCCAGTTCGATAGCTCTAAGATGCGGTAGAGCTGGAGGCCCATCCGGCCTTGACGTATAAGGCGCGCTGGTGCTGAGTGCCTCGAAGAGAGGATGGAACGTTCCCGAGGCAACGTTAGGCAATGTGACGATCTTGAGGACCGAGACGTTTGGCATTATACTGAGCAGCAGATCCCAGCATGAGACGTCCAATTCCGTGAAGTCAGTCGTGAAGTGCGTCACGCGACTGAACATGGAATTGATGAACTTTTCGCTGCGCCAGAACATGATGTGTTCGATCTTGGGGGGCATGTCAAATGAGAAAAT